AAAAGATTCAGCCCTTCCTCCCAGATGGGGGGTAGAAGACTTGCCCTGTTCCAATTAATGGCCTCCAAAACATCCATCAAGCAAAATTCTAGCTACAATCACCTAAGAAGTATTGTAAAAACTCTGTGATACACAGACTAAGAAAATTCAAACGATTTAGAATGTTGAATTTTCAAAGGAATATTGATGTATTAGAAAATAAACAATGAGAAAGATGGTGTACAGCATGTCTTCCCACATAAAGAGAACTGATAGTTATTAAATTCACTGACTTGTTTGCATTTTAAGTGCTGTTATAGTATATATGGCTAGGTTACAAGTCTCCTGTTTGGTACCTCAAAATAAAATTGCTTCCAAAGAGAAAACCAGAAACCTAATTTATCAGAAGTGCCTGAAGACCAAGTATGAAGAAAGTCTACAAAAAAATTGGTAATATATTCTCTTTGAAAGGAGCTAGTGGAGAGTGACCTCACATGGCGCAAAAGTTAAAAACTATGGTGTATTTTCTTCACACTGAACTGAAAGTAAACAATAGAACATCAGAGTAAGTGGAGTTGTGGTTCAGGGGTAGTGTTCCTAATGCTGAACCAGAATATCCAGGTTCAAGTCCTAAATGTCACAGAGGTGGGCTTGTAAAAGGTTGATTAAAATTTCCTTTTTAACTTAGGGGCAGGCTGAAAAGGTGTTTTTTTTGCTTGGAAGTACATACTGTGATTCATATCTGTCACTATTGGCTTGTAAGCAGAAAGATTGTATCCTTTACCACCTGACATTGCATTCTAAAAGCAATGAATGAAGTTGTGCTTATTATTCTATGATCTTTGATTCGGATTATACCAATTGTTGCCACAACCAAGCAGAAACTCCAGACCACCATGTCTGTAACAATTAAAATTTGAAATCTATTAATGATTAGAATCTGTTAAAATTTCACTTGGTGATGACATACACTGAAATGAATTTTAGCTGTGAGAGTAAAGCAAATAGTAAAGCAGTTGGAAAAAAAAGGAGCAGTCAAGTGGGAAGAACAACAATTTAAACCACTCCAATTTTACTTAAGTAAAGCAAGATTACAAAGGGATAGCATTTCATATGAATAAATAGGAACAAAACACAATGTTACAATAGCCATTATAGACATTACGTTGGATTTTGCATTTCTCCTTGGTGGGTTTGAAGGCAGGAAGGCTTGTAAAATCCAGTGTGGGGCTTTCCAGTTCCCAACCTCCTCACCCCAACCAGTTTCAAACTTGAGGGTAGGGGAGACGTCAGGTAGTCCAACCATCTTAGGCCCATTGAGGCAGTTAAGAGCATCACTAACAAGCCTGCATTTTATCCACAGCAAAAACTGTTAAAACCATGCAGGACACGCAGCAGCTTTAGCTGTGCCAGCTGACGTCAGGCTAATAAGGTGGAACTTGCTTAGCAAGCTTTCTGGGCCCATTGGAAACACCATCCAATGTCACAGAACCCCTCCCTAAACCTCCTCCCAAGCCTCTCAGACCTGGAATTCACCCAATTTGCCAAGGGCTGGCAGGCTGGCCCAAACCTTACATTAAGCTCCAAGATGGTGGCAGAGTAGGATGCTCCAGTCAGAGTTCTACTGTCCGCTAGTTCTTTGTAGCACTAGCACAGGCCAAGTCCCGCGGTGGCAGCGGAGCAAGCACGGGAACAAATGCAGCAGAGGCAGAGGAATTGGAAGTAGGGGATTGCATTCTTGCAGGAAGGTGGATGAGAGGTGGTGTAGTCTAGGTAGCTGTGGGAGTTGGTGGGCTTGAAATAGATATCGGTTGAGGTGGTTACCAGGGACGGAGACAGAGGGGTCCAGGAAGGAGAGAGAGGTATCAGAGATGGCTGTATCAGTACTGCCTCATGCTCCCACGAGGAGCTTGAACAGTTCATCAACTTTACGAACACCTTTCACCCAACCTCAAGTTCACCTGGACCTCCTCTCTATTTGTTTCAGAGCTCCCTTCCCGCTCCCCCATTTCTGAAGAAGGGTCCCAACCTGAAACGTCAACTTTCCTGCCCCTATGATGCTGCCTGGCCTGTTGTGTTCCTTAGGATCTTAATCAGATGGGCCTAGAAGTGGCAGATGGAGTTCAGTTCAGATAAATGTGAGATGCTGCATTTTGGAAAGGAAAAATCAGGGCAGGACTTTTAATGGTAAGGTCCTGAGGAATGTGCTGAACAAAGGGACCTTAGAGTGCAGTTCATAGATCCTTGAAAGTAGAGTCACCGGTAGATAAGATAGTGAAGGCAGTGTTTGATATGCTTGCCTTTATTGGTCAGTGCATTGAGTATAGAAGGTGGAAGGTCATGTTGCAGATGTACAGGACATTGGTTCAGCCACTTCTAGAGGATTCCATGCGATCCTGACCTCCCTTCTATAGGAAAAATGTTGTGACACTTGAAAGGGTTCAGAAAAGATTTACAAGGATGTTGCCAGTTTGAACTATAAGCAGCAACTTTTTCTCAGAGGGTGGTGCATGTATGGAATGAGGTGCTAGACGGAGTGGTGGAGGCTGGTACAATTACAATAGTTAAAAGGCATTTGGATGGGTATATGAATAGGAAGGGTTAGGAGGGATATGGGCCAAATGCGACTAGATTTATATAGGACATCTGGTCAGCGTGGAGGAGTTGGACCAAAGGGACTGTTTCCATGCTGTATACCTCTCCAATCTCTGCTCGTATCCACAATTCTCCAGTCCTGGCCACATTCTAGTAAATTGTCTCTGTACTCTCTCCATAGCAGTTCTTCCTGAACTGTCCTTCCTGCAATGTAGTGACTAGAACTGCACACAATATTCCAGTTTTGGCCCTAGCAGTGTTTATAGTTTCATTATTATATCCCTATTTTTGAAATCTATACCTCTACCAGTGAAGGAAGGCATTCCATATGTCCTCGTTACTATGTTATCTATGTGTACTGCTACCTCTAGGGACTTGTACACTTGCACATTAAGATCTCTCACCCCTCTCAGTATATTCTCATTTATTGTGTATTCCTTTTTACTATTTGACCTCCCTAAATGCATTGCCTCACACTTATCAGAGCTGAACTCCATCTGCCACTTTCCTGTTCACCATATCAACCTATCTATACCATTTTGGAGCTTACAACTATCCTCTACACTGACAACTTTTGTCATATGTAAATCTTCCATTGTGGCCCCATTTTCAAGTCAATATCATTAATGTATAAAACAAACAGCAGGCATCCCACCACTGAGTCCTTTAAAACACCACTTGAACCTGCTTTCCATTCACAAGGGTACCATCAATCTTGTTTCCTGTTACTAATTCAACACATTATCTTCTATCCCACAGACTTTTACTTTATTGACCAATCTGCCATTTGTGACCTTGTCAAATGCCTTACTAAAATCTATGTAGACAACATCCACTGTGCAACCTCATTGATCCTCCTTATCACTTCCTTAAAGCATTCAATCAAATTTGTAAAGCATGACCTTCCCTCAACAAAGCCATGCTCAGTCCAGGATCCTTCTCATGAGGACCGAGTGTACTCTCAGCAAGAGGTCACAAATCTGGAATACAGTATAAACCTTTGGTATTTGAGAGACATACCTACTTCTGAGATTAAATTTTATGAGAAAAGGTTGAACCCATACTCAATAAAGGTAGATACTGAGAAGATGTTTCCTTTCATGGGGGAAATAAATGTTCTCCCATTCAAGATGGAGATGAGAAGTAATCCAGGGATCCTTTGTTTTTGGAATGGCCTTTCATGTACAGCAGTGAAAACAGAGTCATTGAATATATCAAAAGCTTTTGTTAGATTGTAGATTAAAGAAAGGAGTCATGGGTTATTAGGCAGGGAGGGAGAAGACACAGGCAGGAAAGTGGAAATAAAGTCCGCAATCAGGTAGGTATGATCTTATTGAATGGCAGAGCAGGTTTGAAGGACCAAATGACCTACTCGACGTATTCATATGAACTGGTCTACTGTTATAGTTTAATCAACATTTCCTGATAAAGCCACTCTTTTAAACAGGCAATAATATTTGTGTGTTTTGTTTTAGGTAGACAGTTATTATCCATATTAATGCATCTTTCGATGCTGTACACATCTCGTCAAAATAGCAAGTTAGCAAATTATTTCTAGCCCTCTGCCCAAAACTTCCTATAACAGTAGTCCACAATTGCTCATCTTCGAGAGCATAACTTACCTTTGCTTGTCATCCTCTTTTAGTGATGCTCCATAGGTTACTAGTTAGCATTCAAAATGACAGCTTTGGCTCAGCTTCATCCTCGTTAGTTAAGTCTTCACACTCTGACCTCTGCACAAACCAAACTGAACTTGGAACCTTCCTGGTCAGTTTGATTCAACACCACATCACCTTGTAGACAAAGAGGGTGGGTACTACAAATAAAATTAAAATAAAGAAAATGCTGACTTCATTTATGGTCATAAAAACCTATTCTGAGGAAGGGTCACTGGATCCGAAACGTTAACTGTGATTTTTTCTTCACAGATGCTGCCAGACCTGATGAGCTTTTCCAGCAACTTCTGTTTTTGTTCCTCATTTACTGTCATGCTGCTGTCAGTCAAGTCATAGCACAACTAGACCATTTGTTGCACTGAAATTTGATGCTCGTCAGTAGACAACATTGGATGAAGCAAGTCATTAAAAACTGAAATAAAAAATAAAGCACACAAACACTTAAATAGTAAAAGAATAACTTGCTGAAAAGCAAAGTGGTTGAGCAGAAACCAAAAAGGAAAATGGCCTCATTGACTTGGTAAAATATGAAAAAAAAATACTTCAGACTATAACTCCTGCAAAAGGAATTTAGTGAAACTATTTGAATTGTGCACTTTGTTTCTTTTTTCTGGAACTCATTTTGAAGCAGTTGTGCACAAAATTCTCTTTGCCAATCCATTTCACTAACTGAAACCAAAGTTTGGCAAGACTTTATTTCCTACAAATTGGATATTCAAAGCAGAAGTCTGATTATAATGGAAGGGTCAAGAAGATTAATCTGATATTTAATTTCAACAAAACTTCCTTACATGGCATTTAACAAATATACATAAGTGATAATTTACATATTTTATATACACTGTGTACAGTATGCACTCCACAAAATATTATTCATAACTGATTGAAAAGTTCATGTATTTCAATAATTTAAGGTGCCCACTTCTGTGCAATTTTCACATATCTTAACCTGAGCATTGGAGGCAAATACAGTTAGTGAAGGCATTTGTATTTCTAAACCATCCCAGTTTAATTGCTTTATGTACAGAAATTTCTTCATCTCATTCAATGCAGATATATTCTCTCTTTCCGCGAATACATTTTCCATTGTATTTAAATTTACTTTTCTCAAGCTTTCTGCTTGAATAGTATAAAGTCAAATTTCAAAAATGTATAAGCATGGAACATTTATTTGTTCATAATCCAAAAATAATGTAAATACAAAATTAAATACTTATCTTTGGTGCAAACATGCTCTTATAATCCTCCTAGATTAATAAATGTATATGTATCACTATAATTAGAGTATCCTTGTATATTAAATTTAAATATAAGCAAGGCTATTGGCGACAAAATATTTCTATTCAGAATGGCTTTGATAGTTTTAGCAACTGAATAGCACAAAGTCCCTGAACTTCAGGTGCTAGACTCTGAAAAGAACTGGTGACCATTTGAGAACAATTATGTTGCCAATAATGTTATTAGCATTTAACACTTCAAACAGCAATTTCTTCTGCTGGTTTGATAAGCCAAGCAATGAAGCAAAGCAGTCAAAAAACTGGTGATATTGCAAAAAAAAAAAAAAAAAAAAATCAATTCACATACACTTCCAAAGAAAACCAACTTTAACCAACCATTTCTTGGAAGCTTTTCAGAATGCCACCCCAGAGTCTGATATTTTAACACGATTTTACAAAGCTGGTAGTAAAAGGGGAGAAGTGAAGTGTTGTGTAATGGTCTAAAGTCTGGTGAAGAATAAATGGACCTCATTTTTTGAGGTCTGGTGCATTCTTGATATCTTAGTACAAAAATGACAATTTCAGTGATGAGCAATGGGAGGTTGTGTACAGCATGAATTTTCCCCTCTAAATGTCTTCATTATTGTGCTGGACACCTTACATGACTGTCAATTAACTGTATTGGTATCTGGGAATCCTTTCTGAAACAGCATTTTCTTTGTAATCTCCTAAAATTGGTTTTACAATCAATTTCATTCTTGCTCACTTCATTCATAAATGCAGAGGACATAACATTTTACAAATTGCACAAAATAATAGAAAAGTAAACTGAAATCACAAGGCAACGTCTTCCAGAAAGTATTTGTTTTGAGGACAAAAAGGGACATATTACAAAAATAGGGAACATAAAAGAAAGCATTACAAAAATAGAAAGAAATGGGTAAAGTTGGACAAAATGTTCACTTAGTTTTTGCTTGCACGGAATTACCGAAGAACTTTTACTCAAAGTTTCATACCATTTGCAGAGATGTAGAAAAATAACTGATCTTGGTCCAAACAACTGCTTTGTATGTTTAACATGATCTCAAATGAAACCTGAATTTGAGATATCTTTTTAAGTTTTTCTTTTCTGTTATAAACACACTTCAGAGTATAGGATCCTTCCACCGGGTAGTCAATTAAGGCTAATAGTGCTGGCATGGTTTACTGTTGTACTGTAAAATGGGTCAATGCTTGCTTCAGCTTTGCCGCAATCTGGTAAGAAATAAGAACATTCTCAATGAAACGTTTCAAAAAGTCCACATTTCCTTCAAACAATCTTTCAACTAACATGATGTTACCACTTAAACATTTCATAAGCAACTTTATTGAAAAGGTTAATTTTCTAAGTACTTCATTTATATATTTGTGCTTTTCCCACTCTGCAGTTTTCAATATTATGCCCTCTATAGTCAGCAGCAGTCTAATACACTGCCACCAATCAATTCCACTATTGAATGCTACGCCTGCAGTTTACAGGAAGGGATTCCTGAGATTTTAATTTTTATGTAATGCTACTAACAATGTAGGAACAAGCCCTTTGATCCAAGACATCTTTATAATCTCAATCATTGTCTTGTGTTCCTAACTTTCCTAAATACCCTTTTTTCAGTTGGTTTGGCATCCATAGAAATAGAATTTCAGGAATATGTAGATAAGCCTCTGAGGTACGCTGTAATGTAACTGTGACCTCATGTGATAGTGTCTGCTAGAAGGTTGGAACTACAGCAGCTCTAGACAAAGATTCCACCTGTGATATCATGTATATATTCTTAATAAATACTATTTGAAGAATTACCTCATTGTCTAGTCAGAGCTCATGTAACAGATAAGCCCACTCTAAAAACAGCATTTGCTTTGATCACTAACTTTGGAAGTACATTCCATAATCCCACAATTTTATCTAAAAAAAGTGATTTAGCCTGCTTTTCCTAAGTGCGTCGTATTTCATCACATATCTAATCTCCTTGTTCTACACTTCTCAAATCACTAGAAATTATTTTCATCTACTTTTTCTCATTTCTTCATAATTTTAAATGCCTCCATCAAATTAGTTCTTAAATCTCCTCTGAAGGGAGAGTTGGAGCTGCAGAGACAATTTGCAATCGATTTTCAAAATGGGTAAATGTGATCATAATTTAAACGGTGGAAAATGGAACAAAAGGACACAGGACAATAATCATGTTAGCCCACAGAAATGCTGTGCCTAGTAATGGAAAAAAAATCAAAGCAAAATACTGAAGGTGAAGAACTCTTTTATATAGAGATCATAATATTGGAATGAATGAGAATGATACCAGGGAATAAAAGCTGTAAAATAATAGTGGAAAACAGATATCTAACAATAGTGGAAAATACTTGAAATTATGAAAAGAGAGTCCAGGAGAATTATACTCCTTTTCAAAGGATGAATGAACATAGAACATAGAACATTACAGCACAGTACAGGCCCTTCGGCCCTCGATGTTGCGCCCACCTGTGAAACCAATCTGAAGCCCATCTAACCTAAACTATTCCATTATCATCCATATGTTTATCCAATGACCATTTAAATGCCCTTAAAGTGGGCGAGTCTACTATTTTTGCAGGCAGGGCATTCCACGCCCTTACTACTCTCTGAGTAAAGAACCTACTTCTGACATCTGTCCTATAGCTTTAAATTGAGGGGTGATAGATATGTCCCCTCGTGCTAGCCATCACCATCCGAGGAAAAAGGCTCCCACTGTCCACCCTATCTAATCCTCTGATGATCTTGTATGTCTCTATCAAGTCACCTCTTAACCTTCTTCTCTCTAACAAAAACAGCCTCAAAACCCTCAGCCTTTCCTCATAAGACCTTCCCTCCATACCAGGCAACATCCTGGTAAATCTCCTCTGCACCCTTTCCAATGCTTCCACATCCTTCCTATAATGCGGTGACCAGAACTGAAGCAGCCAATAACAAACCATCATGGATGAATAGACAAATTTTGCGATTCTTTAATATTTCTCTTATTTGGTTTCTTGTTGGCCTTTGCTTTGTAGGTGAAATCTATTATTTCAGTTATGAATCCCTGTAGTAAGTGCAAGTTATTTCAAATGTGGGGCTATTAGAGTTGAGCCCCTACCTGGCATCACACATACACCATAGACAATTGAACTGATTTTAAGAGTAAGATCCCTAGTTATTTCTTGAATTGTTGGTCCTTGCATGCAGAAATCAACTGCTATAACGTTACAGCCTCCGAGGTCAACATCAGCTAAATTTCTAATTGATATGGCTTCATTCCATAATCTGTGGCGTATTGTCAAACTACTCGCTCTTTAGATTATGAAGTTCATCCCATTGTAGTTTAAGTCTTGCATTATTCTCCAAAATTTGAAATAGTTGGGTTATAGTCTGATTACTTCAATCTGCTAGAGATTTAACATACGATGCACTAATTCTGCACAGCTGAAATACAGAGCTGGTACTCCCTCTGACACTCAAATTACAACTCCTTTCTTCATACTTTATTACAGGTTAAAGAAAATAAATCCTATATGACTCAAAAGGCAAGAAGGAAGAGGAGGGGATAAGGGAAAGAGTGGCAGGTAAGAACACAAGTGAGAAGCAGGGAGTGAATAACTAGCAAAATTTTATACAAGAAAGGTCAATTAGACAAGTCAAGCCTTACACCGTGGGCATGAACTGAGAACCAATGGTCTACAAAACACTCAAATAGAGATTTCTATAAAATAAGTTAATTATATTAACTTTTATTTGCTTTATAGCTAATTAAAGAACAATGTCCCTGCAGTTTTTAGATTATATCACTACAAATGACAAATATAGAATATGGAGTATAAAAATTTCAACTTTCATCATTTGAATGTGATAGCCAAGACCTTTCATGGATTAAAATGTGTTTTATAAAGGAAGAAACATGGACCTAAAATGCTGTAGTGGTTACCTGACTTCAGTGTGAAGCATGCTTCATAAGACAAATATGGAATAAACAAACCCATCTGCACTAGGATCATTTTATCTGAAGAGATCAAAACGAAACACCGAGTCATTCAAGAAATCAGCATCTTCTATTTAATTCATAATTATGATAAATTTCACATGTTGGGAGATGACAGGCTCACCTGCTCGTTGGCCAGCTTGGTAAGACAATGGAGCTAGACTCCAGAATACACATTAACCTATATTTGTGTCAATACCTGCTTTTAAGCAGCAGGGCAGAGAGAAGAATAAATGGGTTTATAAGCAAGAACTGGAGAGACTCTGTCTCTTCCCTTTGCCTGTTTTTCTGATCTTCAAAAACAGCGTCCAGTGCAAAACATGTGAAGATGACCAATCACCAAAAAGTCAAGATTCTGCATGTGCTGCAAATGAGTCAACGACTAATCAACTGTGGCTTCGGGTTTAAAATCTAACACACCTCACAGATTGAGAGTCATAGAAAAATTAGAGCAGATAAGGTTATTAAGGCCATCGGTCCATTTCACCATTCAGCATGATCGTGGCTGGTCCTTTATCTCAACGCCATACTCCACTCTCTCCCCATACCCCTTGATATCTTCACCTTCTAGAAATCTATTTCCTAGAAGTCTATTGCTAAATTGCATAGCCTTATTTCTTCCCACTGTCACAGAGTTGTACAGCATGGAAACAGTCCCTTTGGTCCAACTTATCTATGCTGACCAGATATCCTAAAATAATCTAGTCCCATTTGCTGGCATTTGGCCCATACCCAAACCTTTTCTAATCATATACCCATGCTGATGCTTTTAAATGTTGTAATTGTACCAGCCTCCACCACTTCCTCTGGCAGCTCATTTCATACTCACAGCATCCTCGGTGAGAAAAAGTTGTCCCTTAGGTCCCTTTTAAATCTTCCTCCTCTCACCTTAAACATATGGCCTCTGGGTCACCCCTCAGCCTCTGATGTTCCAGGGAAAATAGTCCAGCCTATTCAGACTCACTCTATGGCTCAAGCCCTCCAGCCCTGGCAATATCTTGTAAATCTTTTCTGAACTCTTTCAAGTTTCACAAAATCCTTCCTATAAGAGGGAGGCCAGAATTGCACAGTGTTCCAAAAGTGGCCTAACCAATGTCCTGTACAGCCACATGACCTCCCAATTCTGATACTCAGTGCACTGACCAATAAAGGCAAGCATACCAAATGCCTTCTTCACAATCCTATCTACCCGTGACTGCACCTTCAAGGGACTATGAACCTGCACTCCAAGGTCTCGTTCAGCAACACTCTCCAGTACCTTACCATTAAGTGTATAAGTCCTGCCTTGGTTTACTTTTCCAAAATGCAGCACCTCACATTTATTTAAACTGAACTCTATCTGCCACTTCTAGACCCATCGGCCCATCTGATCAAGATCTCATTGTACACGGAGGTAACCTTCTTGGTTATTCACTACACCAATTTTGCTGTCATCTGCAAACTTACTAACCAGGCGTCCACTGGCTCAGTGGCTAGCACTGTTGCCTCACAGTGCCAGGAATCTGGGCTCAATTCCATCCTCGGGCGACTGTTTGTGTGGAGTTTGCACGTTCTCCCTGGGTTTCCTCCAGGTGCTCCGGTTTCCTCCCACAGTCCAAAGATGTGCAGGTTAGGTGGATTGGTCATGCTAAATTACCTACAGTGTTCAGGGATGTGTAGATTAGGTGGGTTATAGAGGGGTGGGATGCTCTAAGGGTCGGTGTGGACTTAGAACATAGAACAGTACAGTACAGCACAGCACAGTACAGGCCCTTCGGCCCACGATGTTGTGCCGAACTTTTACCCTAAACCTAAAGTCTATCTAACCTTCACTGCTACCTTATACTATCATCCATATGCCTATCTAATAGCCGCTTAAATGTCCCTGAGGCCGACTCCACTACCCTCTCCGGCAATGCATTCCACGCCCCTACCACTCTCGGAGTAAAGAACCTACCTCTGACGTCTCCCCGATGTCTACCTCCTTTCACTTTAGAGGTATGTCCCCTCGTAAAAGCTACCTCCACCTTAGGAAAAAGTCTCTGGCTGTCTACTCTATCTATACCTCCGATCATTTTGTACACCTCTATCAAGTCACATCTCATCCTTCGTCGTTCTAAAGAGAAAAACCCTAGCTCTCTCAACTTTTCCTCGTAAGACCTTCCCCTCCATTCCAGGCAACATCCTGGTAAATCTCCTCTGCACCTTTTCTAATGCTTCCACGTCTTTCCTGTAATGAGGTGACCAGAA